ACAATGCATATTCACCCAAAAGGATTACGCATCTGTTATGGCTGTACAGGCCCACACAGCAGTTACAGTCACCATCGCAATGAATTCATGTGAAGAATCTCTACCACATTTGCGGAATTAAACATATATAATGGCGACAGTTTACCTATCGGACGTCATTGCTTTTAACACTGTTGCGTTTCTGCAGAAAATATGATCACTATTCCAAACTCTGGAAACATGAAACCCAATAGAATCTAAAAATCCAGATATAACTTCGCATCGCCAAATGTTCTCAGGTGCGTTACTTTTCTTTTAAATTCATCAGCGTCTTTTAATTCGATAAACAAATTCAACTGGGTGATATTTCCAAAGTGAATTAACAAGGACAATAGATCGAACAGAGATGTCTATCGGTGTCTTTTTTTCTATTGTTAAAGTTTTCTATTTGTTGTGTGTTTCTGTTCATGGACAAAATAAGTTAGTTTGGAAAGATTAAAGATCAAATACTTATATCATGTTTATTGCCGTCAAATTCTCTTGGAATAAAAAAAACAGCAAATTATCTACAAACTCTTTCTTTAGAATTCTTGTTATTTTGTTATGTGGGAAGGTTACTGAATAAAATAATCACACAAAATTTGATAATGAACGATAATACTTAGGACAAGAACAATACATATAAGCGGTGCGTAGAAGAAGTACTCAAATGAATTTCACAATGAATCTCCAACTGTAGAATATCTACTAACCGTCCCACACGGTCAGATATGGCACAAGGCCGAATTTAATGTGGGTTACCCGGGCCCGTATGCTCGGCGAAAAATTCCCCGTAAACCCTGATAAAAACGGGGTCGGGTAGCTGTTTTCTGAGACGATAATCTGCCTTTTGACATAGCCTCGTCTGGGGATCCTCTCTGCCCGGAGGCAGAGAGTTTAAACAGCACAGCTAGAGATGAATCTTCAACTGCAGGATATCTACTAACCGCCCCATGCAGTCAGATGTTTCAGAAAGCCGAATTTAACGTTGGATATCCGAGTCAGTAGGCTCGGCCAAAAATTCCCTGTAGACCACGTATAAAATGGTGTCGGGTAGCTGTTTCCCGAGACGATAATGGGTATATCCCCATTCACATAAATACAGTAGTAAATACTGTATGTTGGCCTGCAGTAGGAGATTCGTCTCCAGCTGTGCTGGTCAAATTCGTCCCCAGACGAGGCTATGTTGAAGGGCAGTGTCTTGTCTCGGGAAACAAGCTCCTCAAAACCTCCTGATAAGAGGCCTTGCTACCGGATGTAGTTTATCGTTATACCCAGGAAGAAAGCAGTTTGTTGTTTGGTGAAGGATGGTTGAAGTATTAAAGAAATGACTAGATCTGAAAACTTTCTTTTCGACAACAACGGTATAAGGCTTCAGGCACAGAATTTCCAAGCCTCCTAAAAGTGAGGGGTCGGGAAGGAAAGGTGAGAATAGCAGATATAAAGTGCACTCAAATTTTATGGACACCCTGTATATATATATATATATATATCTTACTTATTATAAAACGCAGATTGTGTGTGTGTGTGTGTGTGTGTGTGTGTGTGTGTGTGTGTGTGTGTGTCTGTACGTTTATATATTTAATCGGATTTCCTACATTTTTCAACCGATTACAACAAACCTTCACAGGACTACATAAAGTTACCTTGCGGTGGTTCTGACAGCGCCAAAATTGGAAAAACACAATTGTTTTTGCACGAAATCAATTTGAAAACACAATAAAACACGATTCTGTCACCAGAATGAAAGGGGGACAACTCATATCGGGTTATACTTATTATAAAACCCAGGTTGTTTGTGTGTCTGTGTTCGTTTATATATGGGATCGGATTTCCTACATTTTTCAACCGATTTCAACAAAATTTCACTTTTTTTGGCAGATAGTGTTTCTTATTGTCTTGCACACTTTTTTCTTTATTTTTACATTCAGAATGCTTTAAAAATTCCATTTACAATTGTTTATAATAAAATTCTATTCAATCGGTAGACTCATAACAATTGAAAACAATGCGTTTGGGTTTGAATAATTCGTAAAAAAAAAACCCAAAAAACCAAAAAAAAAAAAAACTAATTAAGACATGCGTGTCCGTCAACCTTAAACAATAATCTTTGTCAATTTTATTTTTCCGTCTTTATGATGGTCGATACTTGATCTATCTCTTACTGTTACACCCCCGGGCAACGCCGGGCTCTACTGTTAGTATATATATACTGGCCGAGTATACTTAAATACCATGTATCTTCACAAGTTAGGCGATCATGACTCCCGACAAATTACATTTCATCATTATCTGCGAATTGTTATAAGCTCTTGGAAAAGATAATGATAGAGAATGGTATCCCGTTGCTTTTCACATTGTTTTCAATTTAAAATAGTTTTTCTTTTGGGATGGTGTCTACCAAACGCTAGAGAAATATTGTCTTATTGGTATTTAACTCATTATCGTGGGAAGAAGAAATTGATACTTGCCTTTCCTAAGGTCATTTTTATGAAAGTGAGGGAAACACTCCAGACCCGAATTTGAACTCTACACGTCGTTTCTATTTTTAGTGCGGATAACCGTTATGCTACACGCACATCTTAGACAAATAAATTGAAAAGGAAATGTCCAGTCTTCAATTTCCAGATTCGATAGAGTCCAAAAGCGCCTCAGAGTCCTTGCAGGTAACAAATTATTTTCCACCCAGCAACCCCCCTCTCACAGAAGAAATGTCGCAAGCCTTTCACTACTCTATTGCTATTTCCATGGGAAGTGTTCAGACGAATTACATTCCTTAGTGTTATGGGACCTTACCCATAATAACATAATGGACTATTTCATACGTAATAAATACTGCGCATCAAGAGGAAGCAGGGAGTTCAGTCTGAAGTCAGGCGACCGGTTGACCGGCTGATCGGTTGAACTCTCTGCCTTCGGGCGGTGAGGAACCCGAACGAGGCTACGCCGAAGGGCGGAGTCTCTTTCGGGGAGGTAAACCGACCCTGAACCCTTTTATACGGTTTCAAAGGGCATATTTTTAGCCGAGCCCACGGGCTCGGAGATCCCACGTTAAACCGGCCTTGTGCCACATGATGCCCTCGTGGGCGGGGGTGACTAAATACTGTTCCGTCTGAAGTCTCAGTTCCATCTGGAGTGAAGTCCGTCAAGAGTGTGTCAGTCAGAGCGAGTCAGTCAGTCGAGTCAGAGGCAGTCCAAACAGAGTCGCGTTCAGACAATTACTACTAAACCTGATTGTTCGTACTAAAACTTTTCTATTTCTCTGTATATATTCCTGTTTGTAATATATCTGTGTTATTCCATATCCGCCTTCGAGTTCTTCTTTATTGGTTCTACCTTGGACTATCACCGTGGTACAAGGAACCGGACCATAATACTTAGTTTCACCAATTCTAACTTTCACGGCTAGGACCCGCCATGCTACACATATTGTAGCGAACTATCCTCATTCCCATTGGTGAGAAAGTAAGTTCCACTAAAGCAGCTTCTGCCCGCGAATCACTGTTCTGTGGAACCGACTCCCAAGAGTATGTTTCCAGATTGCTACAATCTTAACTTGTTAAAGTCTAGGTTTAACCGTTATCTCTAACTATAAAAGGCAGGAAATGTGTGTGTGTGTGTGTGTGTGTGTGTGTGTGTGTGTGTGTGTGTGTGTATAACGAATGCACGGCCGCAATTTTCTAAGGATTTCGACCCAAATTTACATGCACATGCTCCAAGTAAGCGGGAAGGCTAAGACCGACGTTGCATTTTCCAACTCCCATCGATAGTGGAAATAATCAATTTTTTCATGCTTTTACGGCACTTTTCATGTAGTTTGTGGCCATTTTCTACTGGCCAGAGTGAGAGCCTATAGCTGGCTACGACGAATAGGCAGGAATATTCTATTGGCCAGCGTGAGAGCCAACAGCTGACTGACACGAATGTTAACTAGCATAAATCGATAGCTGCATTCTTCAGAAGTGGGAAAAATTTAAATCTGCATGGCACTTTACTCCTATTGAGCTCATTCGCTTGCTTAAACTCAACGTTGATTCTGATTCTGCAGAAGTGGGTTAGGCGTGAAAAAGTATTTGTTGTTAACATTCTTTTTTCATTCGGTTTTCCAGTTACCAGTCCTTTTTTAAAGCTGATCGTTTTGTGTTCATTTTGTTTAGTTCTTTTTTCGTAACGGATTTAATGTTTAAAATAGAGCTTAGAAAAAATTCGCAGTGTGAGATAGGCAAGAAGTAAGGCATGTAGAAACATCAGCACGGCGAAGGGCACTCCTTTAAAGGCAAGGAAGGGCAAAAATATTTTAAGTCAAGTGATAGCGATTGCTGTATGAGTCGTACGATTTTTGAATCAAGCACGGCCAACGCCGGGCCATGCTGATAGTCTTCACCTAATATCCGTATAAACAATGCCACTTACTATGTAACCTTTTACCTCATTCGCTTCCTTGCTTTATACAGATTGGACCTCACAGTAAAGAAAAAGAAAATATTTCTACATCTGGTACTTTGATTTCTAATAATCTATAATAAGATGTTTTTACTTTGACTCAATTTAGTCAAGTAAAAATTATTAAATTATCTGCACGTCCAAACAGAAGCAGACACCGATTTTGTATTTAAATAAAAGCATTTCGCAATTTACAGGGTTAAAAAGCAACTAGTCCTTTCTAAAACATTAACACGTCTCTCGGTCAGACCCAGACACTTGAGAGAACAAACAGAAGACATAAACAAGCAATAATTACTGGATTTCTTCTACTTCAGTTCTTTCCTTCCGCATTCCCAAACAAGAGGCACCGTTTATTTCTTCATCTGGAGACACAAGTATTGAGCGTCGTGCAGACGAACAAAGATGGAGGCTTGCGGCTAAGCAGCGTTTCTCCGACATAAAGTGACGAGGAAATAGCTTTTTGCGCAGCGACTCCTGTGCTCAAAGGAGACAGACTCAAGATGAAGTGGAGAAAAGAGAAGTGTAAAATTTATCTGTCAGTGGGGAGAGAGGAATTGATTTTGAAGTTGTCTGGCGGGGAGAGAAAACGGAGAAATGGAAGATTTATGTAAGAAGCAGATAAATGAGTTTGAGAAGATTGAAAAGGGAGTAAAAAGCATGGAAAGGAAAGGGTGGGGAGTAGAAAGAGTAAAGAAAAATATGGCAAAAAAGTATAGATGACAGAGAGGTTTTATCAAGAAGTAAAAGAATGAAAATGTTAAGAATGAATGGAACTGCGAAGAAACTAAAAAAAAGAAAGGAAGAAAAACTGCAAAGAAGAAAAATTCAAAGGGAAAAATACACGGAGGAAAGCCCATAGAAATAAATGAAGAAAGAGAGGAGAAATTACTAAGAAAGAAAGAAAGAAAGAAAGATAGAAAGAAAGAACAGAAAGGAAGGAAAATTGAAAGAAAGAAAGAAACTCATAAAAATGAATTAAATTACGAAAAAAAAGAAAGAAAACCGGCGAAGAAGAAAAAAAAAAAAGAACGAAGAAACTGAAAAGAAAAAAACTATGAAGAAAAAAAGCTCTGAAGCTCTAAATATATAAATAGAGGAGGAACTACTAAGAAAGAAAGAAAGAAAGAAAGAAAGAAAGAAAGAAAGAAAGATTGGAAAAGTAAGAGGAAAGGGACAGGGAAATTGGGAAGGAGAAAGAAAGAAAGAAAGAAAGAAAGAAAGAAAGAAAGAAAGAAAGAAAGAAAGAAAGAAAGAATAACTTAAAAAAGAAGGGAAAAGAAAGGATTGAATTTGCGAAGAAAGAGAGAAAGAAAGATACTACGAAGTAGGTAAAGAAAGAAAGAAAGAGAAAAAGAATGAGTGAAAGAAAGATAAATCGAAGAAAGAAAGAAAGAAAAAAAGAAAGAAAGAATAACTTAAAGCAAGAAGAGAAAAGAAAGGATTGAATTTGCGAAGAAAGAAAGAAAGAAAGAAAGAAAGAAAGAAAGAAGAAGCGAAGTAGGTAAAGAAAGAAAGAAAGAAAGAAAGAAAGAAAGAAAGAAAGAAAGAAAGAAAGAAAAGTTTGGAAAAGTAAGAGGAAAGGAGCAGAGAAATTGGGAGGGAGAAAGGAATGGGAGGATAAAAGAAAGAAAGAAAGAAAGAAAGAAAGAAAGAAAGAATAACTTAAAGCAAGAAGGGAAAAGAAAGGATTGAATCTGCGAAGAAAGAAAGAAAGAGGCTACGAAGTAGGTAAAGAAAGAAAGAAAAAAGAAAGAATGACTGAAAGAAAGATAAATCGAAGAAAGAAAGAAAGAAAGGAAGAAAGAAAGAAACGGCAGAAGCTGTCAAGAAAGAAAGAATGACTGAAAGAAACTTCGAAGAAAGTAAATGAAGACAGATAGAAAGAAAGAATACGACTACTGCACAGAACGGAATTGTGACGAAAGAAAGAAAGAAAGAAAGAAAGAAAGAAGCAGAAAAGAAAGAACGACACAAACAAAGAAAGGAACTACGAAGAATCCAATTTACTGCGACAAAAGAAAGTTAAAAGATGAATACAGAGAGAAATAAGCAATGAATTTCCAGTTTGAACGAAAAAGCTTTTTAAAATAATAAAAGGAAAAATATGACAGATCATGTGAAAACAATATGGAAGGAGATTATTTCGAGGAATGAATGGGGAAGTTTCAAGGAGACAAAACATAAAAGAAGTTAGAACAGATGAGATTTAGGAAGGATGGAAGAGTTTTGAAAGCCATAAACAATCAAGGAAAGATGGAAAAGAAAAAGAGAAGACAGGAGAATAAAAGAGAAGGGAAGAAAGGGGAGGAGAAGTAAGGAGGAGAGAATGAAGGGAGAAGAGAAGAGAGGCGAGGAGAAGAGAAGAGAGGAGAGAATGAAGGGAGGAGGAGAGGAGGAGTGTGGAGGAGAGAATGAAGGGAGGAGAAGAGAGGAGAAGAGAAGTGAGGAGAGAACGAAGGGAGGTGAAGAGGAGAGGAGAAGTGAGGAGGAGAGAATGAAGAGGTGAAGAGAAGAGAGGAGAATAGAAGTGAGGAGGAGAGAATGAAGGGAAAAGAGAAGAGAAGAGAGGAGAGGAGGAGAGTATGAAGAGGTGAAGAGAAGAGAGGAGAGGAGAAGTGAGGAGAGGAGAATGAAGGGATGACAAGAGAAGAGAGGAGAGGAGAAGTGGGGAGGAGAGAATGAAGGGGGAGAAGAGAAGAGAGGAGAGAAGATAAGAGAGGAAAGGAGGGCAAAGAGAAGAGGAGAAAAGAGAGGAGAAGAGAGAAAAGAAGAGAGGAGAAGAGAAAAAAGCGAAGGAAAAGAGAATGGATTAAGAGAGATTTGATAATTTAAGGACATATTCCTTCATGATGTCTTTGAACATTGCACACTAGCGCAACAGAACCACAAAAGAACTGTGACAAAAAAACAGAAACCACGTCACTTGAGGACTACCAATAGCGGTAACAACTAAAATGCATAGCACATCACTGGAAGAGAAAATAATGACATCAGCTATTAATAATTCACATTACTTAAAATAAAGAGGTTAAAAAGTTTACGAAGGAAACCTCCATCCATCAATACTGGAAAGAGCGATAACACCTACTGGATTGCGAAACCTATTTTCCTGAAAAATATTTCTAAGAGATGGAATTTATAAATGTTATAATGGGTCGAATAAGCTAGTAACTTCTGGTTAATAAGAACACTGGAACAAAAGATTAGTGGGGAAAACTTTTAATCAGAAGGACATGGTTTAATCTCTATCTATAAAAGGCAGGATGTGTGTGTGTGTATGTGTGTGTGTGTGTGTAAGGAATGCAGGGCCGCAATTTTTGACGGATTTGCACCAGAATTTAGATGCACATGTTCAAGTTAGCGTCAAGGCCAAGACCGACTTTGCATTTCCCAACTCCCATCGATAGTGGAAATAATCGATTTTCTCATGCTTCTACGTAGTTCTCATGTAGTTTGAGGCGATTTTCTACTGGCCAGAGTGAGAGACTATAGCTGGCTGCCACGAATAGGCAGGAATATTCTATTGGCCAGCGTGAGTGCCAACAGCTGACTGACACGAATGTTAACTAGCATGCTAGCATGCAAAAAAAAATCGATAGCTGCATTCGTCACAAGTGTGAAAAATTTAAATCGGTATGGCACTTTACTCCAATTGGCTCATTCGCTTGCTTAAACTCAACGTTGATTCTGATTCCGCAGAAGTGGGTTGGGTGTGAAAAAGCATTTGTTGTTAACATTCTTTTTTCATTCGGTTTTTCCAGTTACCAGTCCTTTTTTAAAGCTGATCGTTTTGTGTTAATTTGGTTTAGTTCTTTTTTCGTAACAATGTTTAGTATAGAGCTTAGAAAAAATTTGCAGTGTGAGATAGGCAAGAAGTAAGGCACGTAGAAACATCAGCACGGCAAAGGGCACTCCTTCAAAGGTAAGGAAGGGAAAAAATATTTTAAGTCAACTGATAGTGATTGCTGTATGAGTCGTACGATTTTTTAATCAAGCACGGGCAACGCCGGGCATTGCTGATAGTCTTCACCTAATATCCGTATAAACAATGCCTCTTATTATGTAACCTTTTACCTCAAGTCGCTCCCTGGCTTTATACAGATTGGACCTCACAGTAAAGAAAAAGAAAATATTTCTACATCTGGTACTTTGATTTCTAATCATCTATAATAAGATGTTTTTACTTTGATTCAATTTAGTCAAGTATGATTACCGTAGTTCAGAGTGATAACACGTACGACTCAATGCTAAGTCTTGCAACCCACTTTGTGACCACCTTCCGATGAGAAAGACCTTCTGCTCATAGCCAATGTGGACGAGTCACTGTTCAACAATTAGTGTAGAGAAGGCCGGTGGTCTTTCTACATAACAATAGATTTAAACGGAAAACAGTACTGGCTGCTTGGTTAATAATTGCCAAATATTTCCTTGTAAGGAAACCATTAATATTACAATTACCTTTTTCATTTTTATCTGTGGACTAGCAGTAGAGCCCGGCGTTGCCCGGGGATGTAACAGTAAGAGATAGATCAAGTATCGACAATCATAAAGACTGAAAAATAAAATTGACAAAGCTTATTGTTTAAGGTTGACGGACACGCATGTCTTAATTAGTTTTTTTTCTATTTTTTTTGGTTTTTTGTTTGTTTTTTGTTTGTTTTTTTTGGGGGGTGTTACGAATTATTCAAACCCAAACTCAAACAAACGCATTGTTTTCAATTGTTATGATTCTACCGATTGAATAGAATTTTATTATAAACAATTGTCTTGTAAATGGAATTTTTAAAGCATTCTGAATGTAAAAATAAAGAAAAAAGTGTGCAAGACAATAAGAAACACTACCTGCCAAAAAAAAGTGAAATTTTGTTGAAATCGGTTTAAAAAATGTAGGAAATCCGATCCCATATATAACGAACACACACACACTCACAAACAACCTGGGTTTTATAATAAGTATAACTCGATATGAGTTATCCCCCTTTCATTCTCGACAGCGATGCCTTTTAATCGTGTTTTCAAATTGATTTCGTGCAAAAACAATTGTTTTTCCAAGAACCACCGCAAGGTAATTTTACGTAGTCCTGTAAAGTTTTGTTGAAATCGGTTGAAAAATGTAGGAAATCCGATCCAATATATAAACGAACAGACACACACACACACAACCTGGGTTTTATAATAAGTATGATTGACACGAAATATTCTGGGAGATGTGTGGAGTTGCTTCCCGTTGCCTTTACGGATTTTTCATTCAGCGTCGTTCTTTCTCTTACCCTTGGTGCTTTTAAGTCCAATTCTATTACGCCGAGTCTACGCAGCTATTTAACACGGGGAAGGAGTTATCGATTCGGGCCTTTAAAGAAGGGATGAGTGTGAAAGTACCGTATTTGACGGCATATAAGGCGCACTTTGCTTTACTAAATATATCTTACAGAATTCGGCTGCGTCTTATATGAATTTAAAATACGCAATTGTCGGTCGAAATTAGCTACATGGCAGCTCCTATTAGCTTAGACTTAAGAGTAATATTCATATAGCTATTGTCATGTTTTAAAAAGCTATTATGCAGATTAAAAGTGTTATCATTGATAATATTAATTATATTAATTTCATCACGTTTAATATTAGTACTTTGTTTCACTATTTTTATATGCAACGAATTCAAATTATATATTTGTAAAATACATTTGTTTCATTAATAGTTTTCTTGCCATAACTTCTGGTTGCATTTGTACAAATACAATCAGGATTTTTATATCAAAATTATTCTAAGACGTTTACAAGACGCAGGTTGTACAGATCATATAAAGGATATAATAAAGTTTTTATAGGCTCGTGTTCTTTTTTCATATTATTTTTCCTGTATTTTTCGTTTAATTGTAAGCATGGTTGTTCAACCAAAATAATACCTCATAAATATAGCCAAGGCTTTACAATTTACTAATAATTTTACTAACTTTTTCTTCATTTGCAATTGAAATTGGGGTGAATCTTTTTCAATCGTGCGTCTTATATGCCGTCAAATACGGTAAATGGAACAGATTAGTACTGATATTGAACTCTGCTCATCCGTTCCGATTTATCCGGCAATAAACGATACGATACACATACATCTACTTTTGTTCGACAAGTAAATCAGTTCTGGGAATCATTTCCCAGTTACTGACTAGTATATCATTTCCAATTGACAGCCTTACACGAAATTTGGTTTCAATCATACACCATTGCTAAAAGAAAACCTTGTTCCCAGCGGTAACTTGGAGGAAAGACATTTTTTAGCCACAGTCGCGTATGATTTCGCCATAGAATTACAGCTTTTGAGAAGTGGAGAGATTTTCCATTAAATCATTGAAAAAAAAAAGCCCATAAATTCATCTTGTATGTAAGAGGTTTGGGATTAATTCGAAGGGGATTTGGTTTCGCATAATTAAAGTGGCGATACAGAAAGACCTAAATTTCTCTCGTGTATTCCTTGGAGTAAACATACCATGGTTTGTGAATTTCAAGTCTAAAGAAATAGATAATTATAAATATATAAAAAAAACAACGAATCGTCAATGCAAAAAAAAGGCAAAAAGAAAGAAAGAAAGAAAAAAAGAAAGAAAGAAAGAAAAGAGAATTAAATTAGACAGACGAGAGGAACCGATTAATATAAATATTTAAAGAGAAGCAAATTTAAATTCAAAGAAAGAAAGAAAGAAAGAAAGAAAGAAAGAAAGAAAGAAAGAAAGAAAAAAAGAAAGAAAGAAAGAGAGAAAGAAAAGAGAATTAAATTAGACAGACGAGAGGAACCGATTAATATAAATATTTAAGGAGAAGCAAATGTAAATGCAAAGAAAGAAAGAAAGAAAGAAAGAAAGAAAGAAAAAGAAAGAAAGAAAGAAAGAAAGAAAGAAAGAAAGAACGAACGAACGAACGAACATAAGGAAAAAAGAAAAGAAAAATAGAACGGACGAGCAAAATAGGAATGAAGGAAGGAAAATAAGGAAGGGAATGGAATAAGAAATTTGAATGGAAATGTTTGCTGTATATATTTTTAAATATATACAGCAAACATTTCCATTCAAATGGAGGAAACATTAAAGCGAAGAAAGAAAGAAAGAAAGAAAGAAAGAAAGAAAGAAAGAAAGAAAGAAAGAAAACAGTTCAAGTAAGAAAGAAAGAACATAGTAGAAGGAAGGAAGGAAGGAAGGAAGGAAGGAAGGAAGGAAGGAAGGAAGGAAGGAAGGGAGGGGAGGGAGGGAGGAAGGAAGGAAGGAAGAGAGAAGGAAGGAGGGAAAATGGGAGGGCGAAAGAGAGGAACGAAAGAACGAATGGAAGAGAATGAAATAACTCGAGGAACAAATTCATGTGAATATTTCAAATAAAACAAACGTTAAACGGGTGCTTTTTAAAGAAATTGAGAACTGTTACTGCAGTGTCCAAATTTATAAACAAAACACACAGATGCATGCTGGGATTTCTTCCAAACCAATAAAAAAGACGACTTAGTCCTGTTCTTTTTTTACTTGAAGTCAGAACGCAGCTATCTCTTGTCTGTATCCCCTTTTGTGTGTTAACACCATTCTTAGTTCGTGAACTTTTTGTCTTATTACTATTGTTTTGTCTTATTGCTGTTGTTTCGCCTTATTGCTGACTAGCAGCATGGCCCGGCGTTGCCCGTGCTTCATTCAAAAATCGTACGACTTATTGGAGCATGTGCATGTAAATTTTGGCGCAAATCCTTGGAAAATTGCAGCCGTGCATTCGTTACATCCACACACACACACACACACACACATCCTGCATTTTATAGAGAGAGATGCTTTTTATTATTGCTGTTTTTTTGCCTTAAGGATATT